CCCCCCCGCAAAAAAAAATATTCCCAATTTATAAAAATGCAGATTTATTTAAAAAAACCAACAAAAAAACAGTTTGAAATTAGTTGTTGAATTCGCAACGAAAAATACAGATTTACTCACATACAGTGGTAAAATGCAGTAGACAGATCGAATAGATGAAGGAAATCAGGTTTACATGAAATGAATGAAGTTTATTTCCTTTTCGCTCTTTTAAGATGAAGAAAAACACAACCCGAGAGTCGCGGACCCATCACTTCCAGCCATGAAAATATAAAAAATGTTTGGCCGCGCGGGTATGGAGACTGAGAATGACGCGCAAGAATGCCTTCAAAACCCGTCATCTTTGCCTTTGGCTTCACTTTTTGATTACGTCACTGACTGAAGTCAGCCTTCCAAAGCCTTCCATGTATATAGTTCACTGGTCTAAAGTTCATGAATAATCGCGGGCGCATGGTGTACGGGTGGTCATCTCACTGATCCCAAAATATGGCTGATTGCCAGGAGTGAAGGGAGCATAAATATAAAAAAAAAACATGTAAGAAAGCTCGGAAAATCGATTCACATAACAAATTGTAAAACATTTTTTCAATTATAAAGTTTGTTCGTTCACTGCAACCAGGTATATCAATCATGTTTCGCTCGCTACTCTGGTTTAAATAAATGATTACAAAGCCCAGTCGAATTGTAATCAAGACCCAACGTTTCGACACTCCAGTCTAGTGGCTTCATCAGGGGTGATCTAAAACTGCGATCGTGGCTTCTTAAATACCCAAGGGATGACGTCACCTGCCAAGAAGATGCATATATTCCTCTGGCAAATAGGCGCCGCCATCCCTATTCAAAGCATGATGACTCATATTTATATGCCACGCTTCTAGGCAAAGCCTTTGACCATAGCGATTGTTTGTGGTAATTACTTTAGAGTTTTCCCACGCAATCTCGTGTTTGGTGTAACATACATGTTCGGCTAAAGCTGATTTTCCCTTGTCTAAAGTTGAAACAGCCTTTTGTACCGTGTACCAAACTGGCGTTTAGACTGACCCAAATACTCTTTGTCGCAGTCACTGCATGGTATAGAATATATAGCATGAGTCTTCTGATTTTTTTCAACAGGATCTTTTGGCTTTGCGAAAATATGGCCTAAAGTCAAATAGGGTTTTAAGGCAACCTTAATATTACAATTACTTAAGATTCTCTTGATTGGTTCTGTGACACCTTGAATGTATGGAACTATTGCAAAACCCTTAACAGAGGTATCACCCTCAGAGTTAGTTTGGTTCCTACAAACAAGTGGCCTCAGGCAATCATTAAGAAAACGCTTTGGGTAAGACTTTGCCTAGAAGCGTGGCATGTGAATATGAGTCATCATGCTTTGAATAGGGATGACGGCGCCTATTTGCCAGAAGAATATATGCATCTTCTTGGCAGGTGACGTCATCCCTTGGGTATTTCAGAAGCCACGATCGCAGTTTTAGATCACCCCTGATGAAGACACTAGACTGGAGTGTCGAAACGTTGGGTCTTGATTACAATTCGACTGGGCTTTGTAATCATTTATTTAAACCAGAGTAGCGAGCGAAACATGATTTTTTCAATTTTCAAACGTAAACATTACAAATTGATTTAGTACGAGATATCCCTAAAGTACAGGACAAGTTTGTTTCAATTGTTTATGTACGACTTCGTATTATTAATATACAATTTGTTAAAATTTCCAAACATCACGAGTATACTATTAATCCCTAATTGTATATGAGCAACATCGCATGATTACTTGTTTATTATTAGCATGACAAAATTGAATAATTCTCAATGTCAACATCATATTCTCTCGCCAAAGCCCAGTCCTGCCAACTAAAATTTGGTGCTTTTGTTCGTATTTTCATTTAGTTCTTTTGCTTTAAGTTCCTCTAGGGGAATTTCATTCGTGTTTAATTAAATACCTTTCCGCCATTTTGTTTGTTTTGGGAAAATCATTAATTGTACTGCAGCACAATTAATTAAATAATTGTGCTCCTCTCAACCAATCAGCATCCAATAATAAGTCTTCTGATATACACTTTACAATAGCGTGCATGCACATTTTTTTATTAGTTGACAGTGAAAAATTACTTAAATTTTTAAAATTAAATTTCCAAGTATATTGTATATATTTTACATCTTTTGGGTTGTTCTGCATGGTTCAATGCATATTTTGATTTCCCCTCGTAAACACTCGCTACTCGTAAATTACGAGTAGTTGCAAGTTTAAATTAGCCCACTCGGAAACTGAGAGTCAGCGTGATGTTAGCCTGCGTAGCAGTCGCTTTATTTTATTGTAGGTTTTGAGGATTTTTGAATAAATGGAGGATTAGAAAAAATGAGCGAAGAGAAAAAGGGCGAGAAAAAACGGGCGAAGGAAATTTTATTCTTCGCCCGTTTTTTCTCGCCCTTGTTTTTCTTCGTCCATTTTTCTAACTCGCCATATATTCAAAAATCCTCAAAACCTACAATAAAATAAAGCGATGCTACGCAGGCTAGCGTGATGTAAATGAAGACTCACATCTGTAAGCATATTCTTTACGAATGACGACAAAGTTAGTCACACAATGTAGCGTAGACGTGCATGTAGCGGTGATACTCTGGTGGCGAGAAATCAATAGACTGTGTTAAATAATATATATTCAGACAAACTAAGACAGAATATTTTACTTTATTGGAATGGTTTAAATAAATAATCAATATATTTACGGTTTACACTGAATAAATTCCATTGAGTATACACCTTAATAAATATACAATAAATGCAAGTGTGACAATATATAAGGCGCAATATTATGTTTACAATACAGTAGTTACTGTATGATGGACAAAGTGATATAATTAGACATAAGTATGGTATTAATTGTAACTTACAGTATCTTTCAAGATTACATTTAAGGAAATTAAGTTACAGCTTTTTTCGATAATGCTCTGATATCCCACGTAGAGGAGGTTCCAGATAACTACTGCATGTGTGCTGGAGGAAAGCCAGATCCCCCCAGAATTGAAGGCCTCCACCACGCAAAAAATATAAATCAACTAAGGGAGTGGATCTCAGGGGGGGGGCGGGGTTGTTCCCGTTTTCCCTTGAAAAGTATTCCTACAAAGATTTCAGCATGTTCCCTATGATAGGATTTCACCACGATTCCTTGATCATCAAGCTATATTTTACGGCTTCGTTTCCGGGTGTTCCCACTACAAAATATGCGTTGTTCCCTAGAAAGTCCTGGAAGACGCTGCAATATTTCGCGAAAGCTTTATTTTCACGATTTTGGTAGGCGAAAATAGAAAAATGGCATTAAATTTCGCGAAAGCTTTCGGAATAACATTTACATGTAACAAGACAAAATACAAACTGTAGCTCAATACTAGAAACTAGGGATCCAAGGATAGTGTGAAGTTTCAAATTGAAAAAGACACTGCAAGAACTATATAGGTTCGCCGACAACCTAGAAAAGCTGATGGCTTACACTACGAAATAAACAATTACCAAAGGCATTTCATCTCATGCGCTCGGCGCACGACGTTTGAAACAAGCCTGATACATCAGAAACGTGCCTTGTGAAACTGACACAATTTATCTATTTATTGTGATGCTACACGCATGCTAAATTTCAATTGTTTCACCAACAACCAAATTTTGCATATTCTAAATTTTCATTTGCATTTGTATTTGCAGCTGTCGCTAAAAGCATCCCCACGAGGCTACTGTTATGCTAAACTTATCTAAAACTATAATTGAAATAGCTGTATACAATATGTTATGAATAATAAGCACTACGTCGTTATATCATTGAAAGGAAGCACTTTATCTTCATCCGTTCCGTATTTTATCCGCATATCCGTTCCGTGGATCCGCTCCATCCGCTTCCGCATTTTAACCTAATTGTGACATGTTTCACAATAACAAGTCTCATTGACCTTTGACTTTTCGAAGGTCACGTTGTGTCTATTTTCAGCTTTTCGCATGTGTTGAATAATGTCACTTTAGATTTCAATAGTTTCACAGTTATAGCTGCAGTGTTTAAAGCAGTTTTGACAAGCTTTGATACAGTTCTGTGTACAGAATACTACAGATTGATTCTCGTAAGATCTGGTAGAGTTTATCGTTGCACTGAACACGAGTTTGCACCGTTGACAACGGCGTTGTGCTAGACAGTAAACAAGGTCTGTGACAGTACACGTTGGCTACATCAGAGACGTTGGCTACATGTACCTCCTTGCTTTTTTCTTCCATTGCATAAATCTTGTTGGCGAGCCAAGCGATTGGCGATAACACGTTGGCGATAACACATTGGCTATCTCCTCGTCTTCTTATTTAAATAAGGAGCTCTGACTCGACTGATTTCTTTCGTCTCGCAATATTTTCTTCGTAAACACCTGTACAAACACCCGCTTCTGTTTAATAGTTGTTTACGTTTTATTGATCTGATGCAGATCTGATGCAATTTTTCGCTCTTTGTACTGAGTTCTGTGATGTAGCACCTTATACAGTCAATGACAATGTATAATGAATACACGGTCTAAATAATATCGATGGGCACTTAATTGAATGCCGGTAATCATAACATCAATTTATATATTATATTATTGCGTAGAATCTCAAAGATTTTCTCAATATTCATGTCTGAAATGTTTATATACTTGAAAACAACACTGTCTCGCTTCTTCGTACGTACTGTACCTCCGTATAATGAGTATACCGTGAAAATAATATCAGCACTCAATTGAATGCCTAGAATCTCAAAGATTTTCGACTCAATATTTAATACGTCTGAAATGTTTATACACTTGAGTGTTGACTGCACTGTCTAGGCGGTCTAGCTCCTTCCTAGCTCTGTATAATGAATATACCGTCTAAATATTATCGACACTTAATTGAACGCCCGTAATGCATAAGATCAATTTATATATTGCGTAGATTTTCAAAAATTTACTCGATATTCACGTCTGAAATGTTTATACATCTGAAAACAACACTGTCACTCCTTCCTAGCATATCGTCACGCCATCGTGATCTACGGCTTGATAGCGCATGCGCATTTGCGCTACTAAAAAAAAATCGGGTGTTCCGGGGTAAAGATCCTTTACACAACATGAGAAGCGAATGTTCTAAAATTTACAAAAAAATACAATAACAAAAGCGATTCCTCGAAATTTTTGTTCACTTGGCAAAAGGATAACAGAATATGTAAATAAGTTAACTGAAATTGCTTAAATAACCTTCAAAGTACTGACAAAGCACAATAAATCACTACGAACATAAATCGTATACACCCCCCGGAAAGTTTACTGTATGACTGACTGACTGAATGACTGACTGACTGAATGACTGACTGACTGACTGATAAGTTTGAATTTCCTCCCAGTCATCACAATACTGTGAAGTTTCGAAGAAACTTCACACTAAAAAAGGGCATTAAATTTCGCGAAAGCTTTTGGAATAACATTTAACAAGACAAAATGCAAACTGTAGCTTAATACTAGAAGACTATTATTCAATAATTTGTTCTTTATGTCGACATAACAGCCGTATACATGTTTATATTTATCAACAATTTTATGATTCAAATTTTTGACTAGGGTATTTATTTCAAGTGTGTAAAATTCGCGAGGTTTTTTATTCGCGTGACTTTAATTTCGCGATTTTTTTACAATCGCGAAAATAAGTACGAACAAGACGCTTGCTAAGCGTTTACTCGAGCTAAAGGATTTGAAAAATATCGCATTCGGCGTATTCACATCAATGATTCATATCAAATTTTACATCTTACTCGTTTAAAGTACATTATTTACCAATAAATCGAGCGAGCCACTTTGTGGCGCAGTGGTTTAAGCGCCGCTTTCGATGCGTGGTTCTTGCGGCGGTTCGAATCCCGTATGCCATAGTTTTATTTTCAAATTAAATTTTTTTTCAACTTCTTTTGAGTCTGATTTTAAGGTTAGGTCTTCTAAGGAGTAGGAGTTGGGGTTGTGTGTGTGGGGTGCGTTTAATTTTTTTAAGAGCCGGAATATTTTTAACAGTTTAGGACTAAATTTCCTGACTGCCGCGGGCACACTGCTCGGCTGCCGATGCCGATGGAATTATTAAAGTTTGATACTGTTAGATACATGTGATGGATATTTTGAATATAAACTACCCGCGGCTGTCGCATGTAGACTAGTATTTTGATTCCGATGGAATTAAGATTGATACTGTTTAGATCATAGACAATCCAAGGATGGATATTTCGAATATAAACTAGAGCGAACACATGCACAAAATAAGCGTACAGCTGTTTACTTTTGATGGAGCACGCTTAGAAAGCGTACAGCCGTTTATTTTTGATCGAGTGCACGTAAAGAGCATACAGTCACAAATACTTGATCGAGCACACATATTAAAATGCACTATTATTATACGAGTGCCGAGTACAGTCCTCATGCAAAGCCATATGATAGAGTAAACAAAGTTTATAGCACGAGAGCAGGAAGTCGAATGAGCAATGAACGCCATGGCGCACGACGAGCAGGGAGTCGAACGAGCCATTGAACGCCAATACGATAATCACAAATAGTCACATGCGTCAACGATTTGTTTAGCCTATGGTGTAGACCCCTCACGAAACGTGTTTCTGCTGGGGTCTACACCGTAGGCTACGATTTGTTTCGATTGGTCAGAATTAAGAGTGGCCGCTTGGGAGACTAAGTCTTGCGCGAAAAAAAAAACCCGACCGAAACTATAAAGGCGGATTTCCAGTCCTCGCACGAAGCTCCTCGCAGCTCGCTGCGAGTGATGCATGAGCACTTTCATCCAATCACAATGCTAAACCGTTAATTTTAATTAGATGCAAGCACTCGCAACGAGCTGCGACGAGCTTCGTGCGAGGACTGGAAAACCGCCTTAACTCAAGCTGAGTTCGAGTAATAACTTAAAGGTATTATTAATTAACGCACATATTTAACAATTATTCGCCAAAGCCAGAAGTCTGAGTGAATGTTCCATATCAATTTGCACTCCCTGTTTTAGATGCGCCCACATATAA